CCATGTGTATAGTCGTTGCTTATGTTGTTGAGAAAAGGTATTTGCAATGAATAAGTCGTTAGTCTTGCAAAATTCTATCATGCGATCTCCAGTGTTATTTCTATCTCCAAGGCCATATTTTCCAATTACCAGTAACTCTTCTTTGTTTCCAACTTTTGCATTCCAGTCACCAGTGAAAATCAACACATCTTGATTCCATGTTCAGTCGATTTCAGAGTGCAGAAATTGGTTGTGGTTGTTGTTGTTGTTGTATGCCGTCGATTGGTAGAAATCTTCAATTTCCTCATCTTTAGCTTTGGTAGTTGCTGCGTAAATTTGAGTAATAGTAATATTAACTGGTCTTCCTTGTAGGCATATGGATATTATACTATCACTTACAGTTTTGTACTTCAGGACAGATCTTGAAACACTCTTGGTGACAATGAATGCCACACCATTCTTCTTCAATTCATCATTCCCAGCATAATAAGTCATATGGTTGTCCAATTCAAAATGGCCAAAACCAGTCCATTTTAGCTCACTAATGCCTAGGATATCCATATTTATGTGTTTCATTCCATTTTTGACAACTTCCAATTTTCCTAGATTCATACTTAGTACATTCCATGTTCCAATTATTAATGGATGTTGGCATCTGTTTCTACTCATTTTGAGTTGTGCCACATCAGCCAATGGAGATCCTGAAAACTTTACTCTATCCTCATTGTTAAAGTCATCTCTACTCTGAGGAGTCAGCTTTTCTCCAGTCAAATTCTGAGTACCTTCCGACCAGATGGGCTCATCTTCTGGCACTGTATCAGACAATGTTTCAGGGTTACTCATCAAGTTTTCCAGTAATATATCAGACAGTGTCACTGCTATTCGTAAGGTACTGGCCAATTTTTGAGAAGTGGATGGCCTCTTCCTTCTTCCAAGTCTGTTTTAGTCCGGAAGCTCCGTTGAAACCTGCCTACCATGGGTAACCCTGCTGGCATTTTGCAACATGGTGCCATAGCCTCCAGCCTCATAGCAACATGTAAGCCACCACAGGATGACAAACTGACAGACAAGTTTGTCTCCCTTAGTTGTTCCTAACTCCTCTGCACCTGCCTACCTTGGGCAATGGCCTTGAAATAGAGCTGCCCACGAGCAAAAAGCAGCCCCCAAGACCCAGTCCACCTACCTCAGGCCCTGGCCTTAATAAAGGCCTCCCCATAGCAAAAAGCAGCCTGCAAGCCACCGGCCTGCCTACCTCAGGCCCCGGCTTTAATATAGAGCCACACCTAGGCAAAAAGCAGCCTCTAAGCCACAGGCCTGCCTACCTCAGGCCCTTGCCTTAATATAGAGCCTCCCTCCACCATGGGAAAAGCAAAAAAGAAAAAAAAAAAGTTAGGAAGGGGAAAGATGTCTGCAAGCTTCCATTATTTCTATGCTTAAGTTCCCTTTCCCCAGCAGAGTAGTAAAAGGAAGAAAGAAAATATTCAGGAAATATCCACAACTTTCTCATTCCCCCATACCAAAGGAGGTGAGTGACTAGTCAGATTAGTCAAAATCTGCCTACCACAGGGCCATGACTACTTTATAGTGAAAAATGTTACTATGCTCTGACCAGAAACCAAATCAGGCACCCCTGCTATTTCTTGGGCCCCACCCTGAAATACTGTATTAGAAACTCTGGAGATGGGGCTTTTAACAAGCTTTTCAGGTAATTCTGCTGCATGCCCAAGTTTGAGAACTATCGTTCTGGATAGTTCTATTGTTTCTGCCATGACTGGGTGTCTGAGGCAGGCCTGTGGCCCTATTCCACTAACTTTGGCTGAACGGACTTGGAGTTTCTCTCTCCCACCACTGACATTTTTGATCATGGAATTCTCAAAGCCTAGACATGGGATAAGGAGTGCTGGTAGTGCAGTGGTTAAAGTGCTTGGCTGATAACCAAAGTCAGCAGCTAGACCCCAGCAGTGGCTCCGCTGGAGAAAAGACCTGGCAATCTGCTCCCACAAAGATTACAGCCTAGGAAACCCTATGGGGCAGTTCTACTCTGTCTTGTAAGGTCGCTATGAATCAGAATTGAGTCGAGGCACACAATAGATCTGGGATGGGAAGAAGCTCTGTTTAGCTTCAGGTCTATGTCATTTTCTTCAGTTTAGTTTACCTAAAGCCATGCATTTAGAGGGTTAGACAGCACTTAGATTAATAAATTGGGTACTTACTTCTTACTTGGTTAGTGATCAGAACCCAAAAGTGAGGAAGGTTGGAATATATACAGGTAGTCCCTGGGTTACAAATGTCTGACTTATGGACAACTGCTACTTGTCGTTTAATATTATAATATTATGTAAATATGCCCTCACTTGAAATCAACTTGTATAATCAATTTCACTTGCTGCGTGTGCAGCTTTTAAATCATTGAAAAGGCTTTGAGCCTTTTCTTGCACTAAATCAAAAAACCAAAGTCAATGCCACCAAGTCAATTCTGACTCATAGCAACTCCAACAGAGTTTCCAAAGCTGTAAATCTTTACAGAAGCAGATGGTCTTATCTTTCTTGAACAGAGCAGCTGGTGGGTTCAAACTGTTGACCTTTTGGTTAGCAGCCAAATGCCTTAACTACTGCACCACCAGAGCTCCTGTTTCTTGCTCTAAAGTTAGACTAAGTAAGAACTATATATACTTTCTCCGACTCACCTACAAATTCCAATTACAGACTTAAAGACACAGTTACGAATGGATCTTATTCATAACCCAAGGTCTGCCTGTACTAAAGCCATAATGTTTCTCTCTATATATGGTTTACTTTCAAGTCTATTATATGTCTAATCCAACTTAGGGGAAAAAAGTTCTTCAACTGTAAACTTTTCATTTTAAGGCTATTCATATTTTAAATCTCTTATTCCAAACAATTTTGTATTTTCTTTTTCAAGACAAATAATAAGCATTACTTGCTGTTTATTTATAATTCTAAGTGACTAAGATACACAAATGAAAAAAGTTTGTTAATGTATGGAAATGAAATTATAAATGTGTGAAATTACTTTTCACTCTGTACATGTATAAACTTGGATATTTTGAATCTCAAGTCTGCAAATCCATTCATGTTCTATGTAGTTTATAAACTGAAACTTATTTAAACTTGAAAATATCTCCACTCAGCCTATTCCTTTCTAATATATGTCTGACTTCCTCCTATAGTCATACATTTTGTCAGAAAGGATGAAATTAATCAGATTTTGTTGTTACTTTCCTAAAATTCATGTCTATAACTCTATTTGGAAAAGGGACTTTTTTTAAAAAAAAAAATATGGCCTTATGTAAGCAGTTAATTTTTAGTTACAAATGATTAAAATAAAATCACAGTCTATTTCTATATAAATTTTCAGCATATAAGGAATTTTTGTAAAATTATTCCTTTTCAGACTGGACTACAAAGCATGCCTATAACAGAAGGAAGGAGTCTGGACAACACATGATTAACTTTACATGGAAAATTCTTTAGTATGAATATGAATATGTAGTATTTATATGAATATTACATAAATGAAGATAATAAATGGCAAAAAAATAAATCTTATATTTAAAATGTGCCAAGATTATAGTGAATCACTTAAAAAAAGAGAATAACTTTATTTTAGGGTGATTTTAGATTTTCAGAAAAGATTTAAAGATATTACAAAGCCTTTTCTGAATACCTCTCATCCAGTTTGCCCTAATGTTAATACCTTATATTAGCACGGAACATTTGTCAAAACTAACAAACACTGATACAATCAACTAAACTCCAGAGTTCATCCAGATTTAACCAGTTTTTCACTACAGTCCTTTTTCTGTTCCAGGTTTCAGGATACCATATTGCATTTAGGTAAATCATTCCTAAATGGAATAATTTATTAAATATCAAAGAAATAAAAAGAAGTATTTCCTTACCTGCTTTGTGCCAAAATCTCATGTGTTTAATTCCAGCTGTAATTAATTTATCAGGCATGTAGGGGTTCATCTTTATAACAAAAATCTTATCTTTACTTCCTCTGAAATAAATACAAAGACGTTTTAACTCTGAAGACACATCTCTCCTGCAATAATCATTTGCCTTATCTGTACCCTATTTTGATTACTCCTTTTCTGAGTATTTTTTTACCATTTGTTTTTCAGGTTTGGGCTGTGTAATCACATATTTGCACATTTGTTATTATTTTAATGTAATTCTGCTCAACAAAATCTCAGAAGACAGGAACAGAGCAAACTGAACTTTTTTGGGCAGCACCAGTTGCACTTACTATACTATACCACTGCATGTAAAGAAGGCTATTTGTGGTCTAAATGAATTTAAGTATTTTTGTAAATACTTTGCTATATAGTTTAGAGCCTTTGCAAATATTAAGTTCATTATAAACTATCTTTTATTTGGAAATTATCTATAAACTCTGAAAAAAGGATTTACCTATATTAACTTCTCATTTTAAGGAAAAGGAAGTTAAAAAAAGAGTTTATGACATTGTAGACTATTTCCTCTTTTAAATTAATTTTTAACATATTTTATTATTATATAAAGATACATGTGTACTGTAGAAAATAAATAAAAATATAATGAAGAAAATAAAAACATGAACGCACTTTTGATACATTTGTATCTTTTTCACTTAATTACAGAATGTGATAATTTTATCATCGAATGGCTGTATCATAACCTACCATACAGTAGAATTCACTCTACCTGTAAATGTAGATTTTACATAAAGGTATTTCATACTATAATTACATTTAAAAAGTGGCTTAAAAGGGATAAACCTACAAATGAATCCTGAAATCCTTTGTCTTTATACCACAATTATACTACATATTCAATGGTAAAGATGGCAACAATAAAAAAAGGTTACATGTCTACTTGATTTCAAATTGTTCTAATTAAAAATGTTCTTTAAATTCAAAGTAATTTCATTATTTTGACAACATAATGTGTTTTTCCCTACCTCGCTGTTGAAAGTTTTTCTCCTTTCTTCCAGTCCCACAGCACAATAGTGTGGCTATCATCTATTCCAACTGAAGCCAAACGTTTTCCATCCGCTGTGAAAATTAATCAGCATGGTATAGTAAATGTTAACATTCAGAAAAGGAAAAGCATTCAGTACATTTTCTAAAGCCACTGTGTTATATTTAAATTTTTGTGAAATAATGTTAAATGTTAGATACGTGTACAACTGTAAGAAGAACCAGAATCCATAAGAAGAGGAAACGGAATGTACGACTAATTGCCTCCACAAATAACTGCCTCCTTTGTTATGAGACCAGAAGACCTGGATGATGCCTGCCTACCATTACTGACATTTTGATAAAAAATTCTATAGATAGATGCTGAGCAAAAGGAAGAAAATGCAGAATATAGCTTCAAATTCTCATGAATTCCAGACTTTCTGGAGCCATGAAGGCTAGATGAACCCCTGAAAATATTGCCCTAAGATAATCTTTAAAGCAATAATATCCTCTGACGTCTTCTTAAAACCAAACAATAGTTTAGCTTAGGTAGTAAAGAATGTCTGCCTTGAGCACGGGATCAAATTGAAAATAGCAACTTGCAAAGTTAGATAGGAAGCTTAGGGGACAGTGAGTTTATGTTAATAAGTGAAAACGGTTGAACGGCTTGAAGAATGTAATCAAAGCCACTGAATCGAACATGTAGAAACTTGAACTGGTGTATGCTTTTGCTGTGAATATTCTCAAAAATAATAAATTATTTTTTAAAACAGTGAGTAGGTTTAAGACATATCCTATACAAATATGGCCTCATGAACATAGCAAAGAAAACCCTATTTCCAAATGGGATTACGTCCACAGGCATAAGGGAAAGGATTCCAACACATAGTTTTGGGGGCATAATTCACACTAGCACTTCATAGAAATGTTAAACAAATCCTCACCTCTCTCTTTCTTAGCCCTTTTAATTTTAAACATTTTCAAAATTTGGTCTGTGGCTATAAAACTTTAATTGAGATCAGGGTTTGTCCAAAGTGGATGATACATAACACTACACCCATCTTCACTCATCAACATGGTTAGGTTTCAAAGACCAGGTTGTTATATGAAAATTGGTGCTACACAAAAATGAAGGCTGACTACATGACTACATAATTGTCAAATTACATGATTACATAACTGCCAAACCACTGAGAATCACGGCCCAGCCAAGTTGACACATAAACTTAACCATCACAGCCAGCATTACTCTCACCTCATACCCTGGTGTTTGGTACTGCCAGACGTACATCATTAATGCATAAAATAGTTGGATAGTAGATTTTCTACTATTGCTGTAAATATGAAATGTTAGCTAATGAGAGAGTTGGTAAAGAAGGAATAGGTGGAGTAGTAATTGAGATTTTAGGTGTTATACAGACAAAACATTTTTTAAAGAAACATGTTTAATAGGTCTATTTTTGTTGTTGTTATGTGCCGTCGAGTCAGACCCAATTCATAGATCACAATTACAAACTAGTCAGCAAAGCCATTTTCATTGTTGTGATTACTCAGGCAGCAATATGCACATTTGGTAAGTGTCGAGATCATAACTAAATGCAGGTTTAGGCAACATTGATTTACATTAAAATGCTCTGTATGGCCTCTGCATTTGGATCATTCATACTGAGATAGTAAACGACCTTACCTGAGAAATCAACAGCACAGACACCATATTGGTGGTAGCCCTTTAATACTGACAATGGTTTAATGGTCTCTGTATCCCATATGTGAATTGAAGGATCCCTACCTACCTAAAATAGAAAGAATCATAAAAGTCGTTTTGTTTTTTTGAAACTGTGATTTGGTTGAAAGTTTACAAAGCAAATCATTTTTCACGCAGCAGTACAGACACATTTTGTTTCATGACATTGATTGCAATCTCCATAATGTAACAGTTCTCTTACCACTTCCTCCCTGTGGTTACTTTTTTCCCTGTGTCCTTCTTTCCTATGCATTCCTGCCCTCAAAGCTATCTCCCTGTAAAAATATCGCCCTTCCGACCTCCCATGACTGACTGTTCTAAGGAGTGTGCCTACTTGGTGTAAATGTTCACCCTATATATCTGTCTATTGTTTGGCTGGAAGCCACAGGAGTGAGTTCAACCCCAGGCCTGAAGGATGACTAGGGACCACCATATGGGGGTTTCACCAGTCTCTATCAGACCAGTAAGCATTTTTATGCTTTTGAGTTTTGTTTCACATTTTTCTCCCACTCTATCCAGGATCTCCTGCACTGATCCCTTTCTGGGTGGTTGACAGTGGTAGCCAGGCACCATCTTTTTCTTCATAAAAGTCATTTTATACAACTAAATTATTTTCATATCTATTAAAAGGAAATAAAATAGGAGACTTTTCATTTCCACTTAAGATCACATTTCCTGACAAGGGATTATTCCTTGTATTCTGTCCTCAAAAAATAAATAAATAATAAAAAAAAGAGTTGTCATCTAAATTTCAAGATACTCAATGCTCCAGAAGTTTTTCTTTTTAATAAATATATACTTTATTCATTTTGAATAATTTTAATTAACACATTTATTTTAGGATCTACAATTTATGACAGGGCTGGTTGGTTTACTGCAACACAGGAAAGAAATGGAAACCACTGGAAGAAGCAGAAGAGGCCGTGTGAGCTACTGCCTTGGGAGAACGGTTCTGAGCCTGTTGTACCTAAAACAGAAATGCTATTGGTAAGCGAAGCTAGAAGCAAAGGATCTGTGACTTGATGGGCACCCAGTGCTCTCTTGTAGCATATTAACTTTTTATTTAACCTGACCTCAATTCTTTCAAGTCCTAGAATTATGATAGTACATGGCCAGTTTCTACTTGTGTCCAATACTACCAGAGTAACCTTCAAACTCCTTGATACAACACATGGGTACATAAGTGCTCTGTTGTTGCTAGTTGCCATGGAGTTGGCTCTGACTCAGAGCAACCCCGTGTACAACAGAACACAATACTGCCTTGTTCTGCACCAGCCTCATAATCCTCACTGTACCTGAGCCCACTGCTGCAGCCACTGTGTCAATCCATCTCATTGAGGGTCTTCCCCTTTTTCACCGATCCTCCACTTTACCAAGCATGTTATCCTTCTCCAGGTATGTCCCTTCTGACAACATGAACAAAGCAGGTGAGACAAAGTCTGGCTATTCTCGTTTCCAAGGAGCATTCCAGCTACACTTCTTTCAGGACAGATTTGTTCATTCTTCTGGCAGTCCATGGTACTTTCAGTATTCTTTGCCAACACCACAACTCAAAAATACCCACTCTTCTTTGGCCTTCCACATTCACTGTCCAGCTTTCACATGCATATGAGGCCACCGAAATCACCATGGTTTGGGCTAAGTGCACCTTAGTCTTCAAAGAGACATCTTTGCTCTTTAGCACTTTAAAGAAGTCTTTTGCAGCAGATTTGCCCACTACAAATACAGTCTCTGATTTCTTGACTGCTGCTTCCATTGGTGTTGATTGTGGAAATCAAGTAATATGAAATCTTTGATGTCCTGGTTACCTAGTGCCACTCTGACAGGAATATACCACAAATGGGATGGCTTAAAGAAACAGGAGTTTATTCTCTTACAGTTTGGAGGCTTTAAGTCTGAGTTCAAAGTGCCAGGCTCTAGGGGCTGAGTGACAGCCCCTCAACCTTGGGCTTCAGCTCTGCCTCCTGCTCCCTGCCCACTGAAGCTGGAGGCTTTTTTCTTCACTCAGCTGCTGGCTGCTGAGGCTGACAAGCTCAAGGTTGACAAGTAAAAAGGCACAGTCCTGATGTTACCAGACGACATGGCAGGCCATCAATTCGAGTCCATTGAAAGTCCCAGGGTTGGCTTGGGACACTGCTACATGCAGGGTTCAAGTGTGCCATAAGCTAGAGACCATTCCCCAAGGCTTTTTATATACAGGAAGCAGACCACATCCCTAAGGCAGCTACTCAGGGGCTCACAGTAGATTCTATAATGGAGTTGATTACCAGTCTCATCATGGGGAATACTACATCCAGCTGCCCAGCCACTCAACCAGGCCCAGCCAAGCTGACACACCAACTTAACTACCATATTTGACAACTTCAATCTTTTCTCCATTTATCATGAGGCTGCTAATTGGTCCAGTTGTGAGGATTTTCATTTTGTTGAAGTGCAATCCACACTGCAGACTATAGTCTTTAATTTTCATCAGGAAGGGCTTCAAGTCACCTTCACTTTCAGCAAGCAAGGTTGTGTCGTCTGCATATTGCGGGTTGTTAATGAGTTTTCTTCCAATCCTGATGCTGCATTCTTCTTCATATAGTCCAGCTTCTTGGATTATCTACTCAGCATATAGGATACAATCCTGACCCACTCCTTTCTTGATTTTAAACCACACAGTATCCCCTCATTCTATTCGCACAACAGTCTCCTGGTCTACGTACAGGTTCCTCATGAGCACAATTAAGTGTTCTGGAATTCCCACTCTTCTCAGTGTTACCCATAATTTGTTATGATCCATACAGTTAAATGCTTTTGCACAATGAAACACAGGTAAACATCTTTCTGGTATTCTTTGCTTTCAGCCAAGATCCATCTGACATCAGCAATAATGTAAGTGCCCTTAAGAGGAACCATTTATGTGAACTAAAAGTAAATGGTGTCCAGGAAGCTCCCACCTACCCAACTGATTAGTTCTTCCATTAATATCCATCATGCATTCAAGATGTTGAACACTTGGGCTACTGTAGGACTTTATACAGCTCTCTATAATAGTGGTTCTCAGTGTGTATGTTGGGGGCTTTACCTCCCAGGAGACATGGCAATGTCTGGAGACATTTTTGGCTGTCACAATTGGTGGAGGAGTGCTATTGCTATCTAGTAGGTAGAGGCCAGGCATGCTGCTAAACATCCTACAATGCACAGGATGGTCACCCACAACAAAGAATTATCCAGTCCAAAATGTCTCTAGGACCAGGATGAGAAGCTTTGATCTACAGTTATGACACTCATGTCTGTCCTCCTCCTCAGTATATGTATTTACCATGGCAAGAAGATGTCTTATTTATCTTTATATTCTTGGCACATTTCCTAGTACTCAGCATGTGTTCAATGAATGGTTTTTATAAATGGAGGAAAGGAAGGGGGAAAAGGAGGGAGAGAAGGAGAGAAAGAAAAGGGGAAAAAAAGAGTGAGAGAAGGCACAAAAGGAGGAGGGAGGAATGGGCAAAAGGAAAAAAGAGAAGAATTTTCTCTCCTTTCAGAGAAGCTATGTAGTAAGGTGCAAGATGACCCCACAAATCCCCTAGAAGGTACAGTGCCTTAGGTATATTTACACAGTGTTTGAAGCCAGACAGACTAAAGGCTTTAAGCTTTACTACTTATTGGCTAAGTGATCTTGAGCAAACAAATTTCTCTAAACCTAAACTTCTTCATATGTAAACTGTGGAAAATTATCTCACTCTCTGAGGACTGAGGTGAGAATAAAATGAATGTATATTAAGAGACTAGTAAAATGTTACTTAGAGTAGGACTCTATTAGCATCACTGTTTCCTTCTCTTCTCTGAGAATACCCAGATAGGTATCAGTGAAGACTCTTCTCGGTATTTTCTATTTTAACATCTGTGCTTTCTACTTTGGAAACCTGAAAAGGCTACTACCATGGCTGCAAAAAAAAAAACACAGTCATCCCATTTGCCACAGAACATTTGTTAGATCATTTATTATATTATTTTAGATAAATCAACCTGAACCAGATTTCTAGTCCTTGTGTCTTATGTCTTCTACAATTTTCACTCATAAGTTAAAAAAGAGTTTTAGTATTATCTGAACGGGGCAAAGACAGGCCAGAACTCTTGGTTCAAAATTTAAAATAAACTAACAGTAGTCAAAACAACAAACTATAAAGAAAACTATAGGAAAAAGTTGAAGTAAATTTTATTAACAATAAGAAAATAAAATCCCATTCTAAAGAATGCTTTATTCTTCATTTCTCAGGATGGATACAGAAAGAAGTGGAGTAACCTAAGTTTAAAACCCAGAAACAGGTCTAACCTACCTGGCCTGTTGCCACATAGTCTTTCACAGGATGAACGGCCAGGCAGAGAATATCATCATCGTGACCCATGTAAAAGCGCTGTGTGTTTTGCTGCCGATTGTAAATAACACCCACTGCTGCCACGTGGTACACAATCTCACCAATTTGAGTATAAAACAGGTTACTGCGACAATCATGACCTCTGTAACTAATATAGAAAAAAACATAGTAATTTAACTTTGGACTTTCATATGATGAATATGGACTATAGAAGAGAAGTTGTTACTTTGTAGGTTATACAATTTCCAGTTTTAAAGGATACTGAACAAAAAAAGAAAATATAAATATCTCAGGTCCCATAAACTTTTAAAAACTGCTCTGATTTCAAATAGTAAATTCAAGTTATAATATTCAGTAAAAGAAGCAAGGTGCCAACACTGTACACAGTGCACTATTATTTATATAAATATATTAAACTAGTGTATTAAAAAAATAGTTGTTTTAAAAAAGTTAAAGAGTATAGAAACCAGCATATATTTGTATTTGTTTATATATGCAAAAATATATGTGAAACTGAGTGACAGTGATTACCTTGGTGGAGGAAAATGATGGTGGTAGGGAAAAGCAGAGGTAGGAGGGAGATTTCCAAAGCATACCCTTTTATACATATTACTGAACCATGAGAACATAATTATATTCTACAAATAAATTTGCAAAATGATTAAAAAATATTATACACATCTAAGAAAAATAGTTAACTTCTAAAAATGGTGAATATAATTTCATTTGTAACAACTTTTCCTTGAGCTTCAAATTTGTAAAACATAACCATGTAAAAATATGCTGCCTATTTTAACACTAGAGGAAAACTATTTTTATTAAATAAATCCCTTTCAAACTCTTGAAAAGTATTATCAAGCAGGTATGTAAATGAGGGCTGAATGAGGGACAAGGAGTTGGGTTGAAAAATCTATCATTAACAAGCTTAAATGTGGCATCTGTCTTGCCAGATGTTCTAACAGAATCCAGAAACTGCACCTTACTGAAACTAAAATATGAAGGCCAACATGCTAAGGTCAAAACAAGCCATACTACCTTTCCAAACTGGACATACTTGAGGGAGACGGTTATTTCTTGTATTTTATTTATTTTCATTTGTTTAAAGAAAGAAGGTCCATTTCTATAAATATATTAGTAAGTTTTCCAACATAAATTATTTTTGTTTTCACTTGATAAACACTCATGTAGCATTTATTATGTGTCACACAATGTTCTAAGTCACTACAAATAGTGACTCATTTACTTTTCATCAGAACTCTATGAAGTAGGTACTAGTATTATCTCCATTTTACTGATGAGAAAACAGAGACACAAAGAGGTTAGGTCACTTGCTGAAAAGTTACACAGCTAGTAAGTGTTAATGCAAATCCAAACACATAAGTGAAAAACAGCTGTTTAATACCCATGGACAAAGTGTAATCGAATACTATTTCCTGGAGCTCGCTCTCTTCTTTTAGAAGCAGCACTTTTTTGTTTCTCTTTGCATTGTTCTTTAAGCTGAGGTAGATCTTCTTTGTAAACCTTTCAAAAAAAAGTATGTAATAGAATATATATCAATAATGGTGTTTATCGACTTCTAACATAATGTTCATACATTGTGGTCATTGATGATTATTAACGCTTTACAATTGTCTTAAATGAGTAGGCACTTTATGAAACTCTCTTAGAAAGAACTAATTTATATCACACTGACAAATACATATTTAGTTCCAGGAAACTTTATCCTTCATGAGACATAATTTTAAAGGAAATAAATGGGAGTACACATTGACAAAATCTATAGGCAAATATAATACAAACACACATAGTCTATCAGGAACTTAATATAAAATAATATTTTATAGAAGTATACTTACTCTTAAAGGAGGAAAACCAAAATAACCACACATTACTTGGAAAATTCAAAACCACAAAAGATAACAATAGATGAGTAAAGAACAAGGAGTGAAGAAACAGAAATTACACATTTCAGGGGGGGAAAATAATCCCTGATAACAGTAACATTACCTGCCGACGGTAAGTTAGCTGTGTCTCTTGTTCAATTTCAGAATCCAGTTCTGGAACATCAGATAGATCTGAATCGGATTCATCACTATTAGAGTCAGCCAGACTTTCTGTAATTTTTTTGAAAAAATAAAATGCTATACATTTTGAAAAGATTAACTTTCAAAATAGCACTGTAAAATTAATGATTAAAAGCTGACCATCGTCAGCTGATGTGGAGACAAGCCATAAAACAATCAAATGAAATTACCTATTCAAGGGACACAGATGTCAGTAAACTGTACTACAGATTATCTTCCTCTCCACTCACTGCAAACTCAATAGCTACTTTAAATCCCTTCACTGGCTCCCCAATGATGCTACATCAAATTTAAATGTCTGCATAAATATAAGTGAATATAACCTACAATTAACATGAAAAGCAGCTAAAAAAATACTATATGCAACTGAATAATTAACATTAGATAATATTTCTTTGCCAAAAAAGCATAGACAACACTTAGATAACAATCTCTCAGAGTATATATTAAATGCTTGTTGTGCTAACGTTAACTATTTCTTCACTCATCATTTAATAGATTTAAATGCAACCAAAAGAACTTTGTATTTCCATCTGCAACTCATGGCTGAGTCTTCCGTGTGGCCCACCTTCCTCCCAAGAAAATGGCTTCAACTGAATGATCTCACCTCAAAGGTGGCATCTCATCTGCTCTAGCTAAAATTTACAACCTGGTGTAAGAAAGCTTCCCTTTGCAATTGCTCTCTCCAAAATTCCATTCACATAGCAACACATTTTTTTCTTCTGTTTTGGGCACAGTTACTCCCTGACTCTCATTATCATCAGCAATTGGGCTTTTTTGCATTGCAGTTATAAGAGAAAAAATAAATAAATAAAACCTTCCAGATTTAATTACAAAAAAAAAAAAGAACTTTGTATTTCATGCTCTGTGACAACTGACTTATAAAGTTATTTTTTAATAGAAAATGTCTGCTACTGATAGATAATATTGTTAGGTTACAAGGCTAAACTGTATTTCAACACTACAATTATTATTTTGGGGCTACTGAAGTTATTTGCCAGGAAAATTCTTTAGGAGATGTATACTACTCACCTTGGGGTGCTATATGAAAAGCATCTTTGAGTTTTCTTTCAGGAATAAATTTCCACTGAAAGACAGAGTGGTCTGCTCCACCAATAGAAATAACCCACTGATAATCATGTGACCATCTGACATTAGTTACATGAGCCGAATGGCCAATATATTTCTTAAATTTGGCTCCTACAAAAAAAAAATTCATCTTTAACTTTATAACCAAATGCCAACATAAATTACATAAATACCACTTCAAATCACAATTTGTATACATAAACCAATGTATTCCCTCTTCTTTATCATACCAATTATGATTAAAGGGAAAAATGTTAATTCAAACATGTTTTGAATGAATAAATAAATGAACTTGTATCAGTGGATGCAAATCTTTGTTCTACTAATTCACAATATAATGTGCACCATAATGGCTGTAAGGTATAATTTCACTGTTTTGAGAAAAATGTGCATCCTCAAGGGTGTACATTTAAAGGCATTTGAATGTTTTGGCTTGATGCTTTTGGCTTTGAGTAAAACTGAAATGACCAAGTCTACTCTACCTCCGCTTTCACAATTTTCCACCCAAGCAGCTGGAGGATACTTTTAAAATGTAAGTCACCAACAAAATACTAGCAAATCAAAAACAGAAACATATAAAAAGGTTTGTATACTGTGAACAAGTGGGATTTACGCCAGGAATGCCAAATTAGTTCAACATACAAAATTCAATCAATGAATATACTCCATATTAATCAAACAAAGGACAAAAACCACATAACCATCTCAATAGACACAGAAAAGGTATTTGGCAAAAATCTAACACTATTTCATGATTAAAAAAAAATTAAACAAACAAACAAACAAAACTTGATAAACTAAGAATAGAAAGGAACTTCCACACCCTGACAAAGAGCATCTATGAAAAGTCCAGTTAACGTTACACTTAACGATTAAAGAATGAAAGCTTTCCCCCTAAGATCAGGAACAAGACAAGGGTTTCTGCTGTCACTATTTCTATTCAATATTTCATTGGAGATTGTAATCAAATCAATTTGACAAGAAAAATAAGTAAGAGGAGAGAAGTAAAACTACCTCGGTTTGTACAAGACATACTCTCATCTGTAGAAAATCCTAAGGAATCCACTAAAAAAATATGAGAAGTAATAAAGAAGTTCAGCAAAATTAAAAGATATAAGATCAATGTACTAAATCATTTGCATTTCTATACACTAGCAATGAACGATCCAAAAACAAAATTATATATACTTCTATAAATAGAATTATGAAACAGAGTAAAATACTTAAATGAACAAAACTCCTACACTGAAAACTATAAAACATCATTGGAAGAGAAAAAAGAAGACCTAAATAACCATCATGTATTCATGGTTTGACTTCATATTATTAAGGAGGCAATAAAGCAATAGTCCCACATCTGACTTACAGACTCAATGTCAACCCTATCAAAATCCCAGCTGACTTCTTGCAGAAACTGAGCAGCTGATCCTAAAATTCATATGAAAATTTAAGACACCCAGAATAATCAAAACAATCTTTAAAAAGAACAAAATTGGAGATACCATTTTACACCCACTAAAACAGATAGAATGAAAAAGGAAGTGTGAGCAATGCTGTGGAGATGATGGAACCCTCATATACTGGTGGTGGGAATTTAAATGCCACTTTGAAAAAAAGTTTGGCAGTTCCTCAAAAAATTAAATATATGACTCAACATTCTATTCTTAGGTAAATATCCCAAATAATTAAAACATATGTCCATATAAAAACTTGCACCTGAATGTTTACAGCAGCACTACTTACAATGGCCAAAAAGTAGAAATAATCCAGTTGTACATCAGCAGATGAGTGGATAAAACAAAATGTGATATATCATATGGAATATTATTTGTCCATAAAAATAAATGAATTAATGACACATGCTCCAACATGAATGTTGAAAACATGAAAGAAGCCAGATCAAAAACAAAACAAAACAAAAGCCACATATATATGATTTTATTTATATGAAATAGCCACAAGAGGGAAATCCAAAGACAAAAAGTAGATTAGTGCTTGCCAGGGGCTATCAGAAGCTGGACTATATGAAGAAGAACATGGCATGAGGATTAGAGTCATTAACAGCCTGTGATAAGCAGACAACACAACTTTGTTTGCTGAACATGAGGATGACTTGAAGCACTTACTGTTGTTGTTGTAGTTATATGCCATCAAGTTGGACCCAATTCATAGCGACCCCTCCTTGGGTTTCCGAGGCAGTATCACTAAGGAAGTAGATTGCCCCATCTTCCTTTCGAGGAGTGGCTGGTGGGTTTGAACCTCCAGCCTTCTGGTTAGCAGTCAAATGCCATAGGCACTACGCTACCAGAGCTCCCAAAGCACTTACTGATGAAGATTAAAGACTTCAGACTGCACTATGGATTACATCTTAACATAAAGAAAGCACACATCCTCACAACTGGACCAATAAGCAGCATCACAATAAATGGAGAAAAGACTGAAGTTGTTAAAGATTTTTACATTATTTGGTTCCACAATCACCACCAATGGAAGCAGCAGTCAAGACATCAGACGATGTACTGCACTGGGCAAATCTGCTGCAAAAGACCTCTTTAAAGTGCTAAAGAGCAAAGATGTCTCCTTGAAAACTAAGGTACATCTAACTCAAGCCATAGCATTTTCAATAGCCTCATATGCATGTGAGAACTGGACAATTAACAAGGAAGACTGAAGAAGAGTTGATGCTTTTGAGTTGTGGTGTTGGCAAAGAATACTGAAAGTACCATGGACTGCCAAGGAACAAATCTGTCCTGGAAGAAATGCAGCTGGAATGCTCCTTGGGAGCAAGAATGGCCAGACTTCATCTCACCTACTTTGGTCGTGTTGTCATAAAGGACCATTCCCTGGAGAAGGATATCATGCTTGGTAAAGTGGTGGGTCAGCAAAGAAGGTGAAGGCCCTCAACAAGATGGATTGACACAGTGGCTACAATGATGGGCTCACGTATAGCAAGGATTGTGAAGCTGGCACAGAACCAGGCAGTGTTTTGTTGTGTTGTACACAGGGTCTCTATGAGTTGGAGCTGACTCAACAGCATCTGACAACAACAAATGGGGATGGGGGAACTGGTAGTGACTATTAATGGGTAAGAGGTTTCTTTTTCAGATGATGAAAATGTTCAGAAATGGATAGTGGTGGTGGTTACACAACTTTGTGAATGTATTAAAATCACTAAATTGTAAACTTGAAAAGAGTGAATTTTGTGATATGTAAATTTTATCTCCCTTTTTTAAAAATAAGTCAAAGCCTGTCATTCTTCTGCTCAAAACCCTGCAGTGATTCTTCATTCTTCTGAGTAAAGTCAAAGTCCTTACAATGTCTATGTCATCTGAGCCCCATTACTTCTCTCTTCACTCACCTCACTCACTCTCTTCTCTAACTACACTGGCCTCCTTCAAGTTCCTTGAACAAGCCAGTCATATTCCCACCTTAGGACTTTGTTGTAGCTATGCCTTTTGCCCAGACTGCTCTTTCTCCAAATATTTACTTGGCTAACCCCCTCATCTCCTTTAAGTCTTTAATCAAATCTCATCATTTCAAGAAGATCAAGCCCAGACAGCTTATTTAATACTGTAACCTGCCTCCAGTCCCCTACTCTTACCTCCATTTGTCTTCTAATTTCCTGATTCCCTTATTTAATTGCATTATCACTCTCTAATATACACACAATTTACTTATTTATAATACTTATTGGTTATCATCACCTTTTTACACCTTCTCCCCACCCCATGTAAGAGATATGAGATCTTTTCTACTGTATGAACTGATTTTATGTCTCAATTGCATAACAATAATGCCTGGCATATAACAGTCAATACCTTATTGAATATGAATAAATACTGAATGAATAAGTAAATTTTTTAGCCCAAGTCTCCCTTTTAACTACTTAGGTAGTATTCATTCTACAGGAAAACCTAATATTTGGATGACACTATCTGATTTCTCTACTCCTTTTTGAGAGAAGACAGGTTGGAGATGAGTTCCAAGGCGGATCTAATTATAATTAGCTGACTCCTTAATGAGCCCTTCTCTTCATAGGAATTTGTCTAAAAAGCCTAAAAACCTGTCTAAAAAAGAACAGGTCAGCAATACTCTGCCTAAAGATCTTTTAAAAAACAAACCAACCAACCAACCTGTCCAACCTTGGTCAGTTTGACAAATGGGCAACTATCAGTAGATTTTAACCTAAAGTAATTTTAACCTACATTTTCCATGACTTTGGTACACATTTCATAATAAATTCTTTCTGATAAAAAACCAAGATGGACAACTAAAATTGAGACTTCCTTTCTGAAATTTATCATTTAAGAGACTTGATTTTAAGTGAAACATTTCTTTCTTGTTTAAGAATTATGGCTTTAAAAAAAATCTATTCTATTGAAATATAATTTTGATCATATTAAGGCCAGAGTTGTTGTTAGATGCCATCCAGTCAGTCCCCAACTCATAGGAACCCCACGCCCAATGGCAATTGTACTCCCTGGTCCTTTCTTGGCCATTCCCAAGGAGTGGCTATGATTGGACCACTGTGGTCCACAGTTTTCTTTGGCTGGTTTTCAAAAGTAGACCCCCAAGCCTTTCTTCTTGGTCTGTTTTAGTCTGGAAGTTCTGCTGGAACCTGTTCAGTATCATAGCAACACAGAAGCTTCCACTGATAGATGAGTGGTGGCTGCACTTGTGGTGCGTGGCCAGGAATCAAACCTGAGACTCCTAAGTGGAAGGTGAGAATTCCACCACTGAGCTGCCAAGGCCAGAGGAGACACACTAATTTCAGTTGGACAGGACTGTTTGCTCTCAATTTCTTATTTTGAAAATTTTTGAGCTTACAGAAAAATTGCAAGGCTAGTTCAATAAACACTCAGAAATCTTTCAATTTACCTGTGAGCTAGATACACCAATTTTAAACACTTTATCACATTTTAACCATTTGAGAGTTAGTTGCAGACAATATAAAACTTCACTCCTAAATATGTTGTTTGTTGTTGTTTTGCCATCGAGTCGGCCCCGACTCATAGCGACCCCTCCTTGGGTTTCTGAGGCAGTATCACTACAGAAGTGTTGTTGTTGTTGTTTGCCGTCGAGTTGGCCCCGACTCATAGCGACCCCTCCTTGGGTTTCTGAGGCAGTATCACTACAGAAGTGTTGTTGTTGTTGTTTGCCGTCGAGTTGGCCCCGACTCATAGCGACCCCTCCTTGGGTTTCCGAGGCAGTATCACTACGGAAGTAGGATTGCTCAACCTTCCCAACCTTCCTTCCGAGGAGTGGCTGGTGGTTTGAACCGCCAGCCTTCTGGTGAGCAGTCAAGTGCCTTAGGCACTATGCTACCAGAGCTCCACTCCTAAATATATCAACACATATTTCCTAAAAAGACATTTTCCTACATAACTACAATATAACTATCAAATGCAAGAAATTTAGTATTAATATAGTATTACTTAATATACATTCTTTATTCAAATATGCTCAATTATCTCAACAATATCCTTTATAGCTATTTTCTAATCCAGGTATTTGTAGACGGTTCTTCAGTTTGGGTTTATCTACTGTTTCCTTGTGATTAGAGTCAGGTGATGTGTTTTTGGCAGAGATGACACTGTAACTCTTCTGGGCACATCATTTCATGAGGCCTAGACAGTTCTATTGTGGTGGTGGTGGTGAAGTGGTGTTAAACTGTATCATTTAGCTAAAGTAGTACATAGATTTCTCCATTGTAAAGGAATGACTTAGCTTCACAGTTTATTTTTTCTACAAAAATGTGTGTGATGACAAGAACTACTTTTAGAGCAGCAACTTTAGAATAAAAAACAAACCACACCAGTTACTGTGGAGTCAACACCCACTTATGGGGACCCTAAGCATCAGAGCACAGCTATGCTCACGGGGTTCTCAATGACTGACTCCTGGGAAGTACATCATCATCAGGCCTTTGTTCTGAGGCACCTTTGAAATGACTGAAACTTCCAACCTTTCAGTTAGCAGCCATGTATGCTAACCATCTGCCCCACTCAGGAACTCCACGTTTAAAATACATTTCTCTCCATCTCACTTAGATAAGTGTGATAGGTAGCAACATATATATATCCCTGTTAAAATACACTGGCTATAATGACATTGGCTATATTTTCATAATGTTTTAAAAGTTTTATATTAAGTTATAGAAGGCCTGTATGCCAGGATGACAAAGCTCCACCCATAAAAAAATTAGACCCTTAAGTTTGACATCAATGTGCTACCTATTTGAATTAAATTCCCTCAGCTATTTGCATAATTACTTTTACTTAGTAGCATTTTAATGTTTGTCTGCCAGGTTTTATCAACAAGTCATGTGAAAATCATTGCATCTGCATAGGTCAGTACCCTAGGAATACACACTCACAGTCCCTAATATATGAGGAGCTCCAGTGTGTTAAAGCATTCAGCTGCTAACCAAAAGGTTGGCAGTTCAAACCCTCCAGCTGCTCCATGGGGAAAACATAAAGCAGTCTACTTCTGTAAAGATTTGAAGTCTTAGAAACCCTATGGGGCAGTTCTACTCTGTCCTATAGGGTTGCGATGAGTTGAGATCAAATCATGACAGTGGATATGGTTTTTGGTTTTGGTGCTGTGGTAGTTAAAGTTGGATGTCAATTTGGCTGGGCCTGCTCGAGTAGCTGGGCAGCTGGTGATAGTTTTCCCCATGATGAGACTGGCAATCAACTCCATGGTAGGATCTACCACAAGCAGCTGAGTAGCTGCTTTAGGCATATGGTCTGCTTCCCATACATAAGCAGCAGCTTTGGGAATGGTCTCTAGCTTATGGCACACTTGAACCCTGCATGCAGCCATGTTGCTGTTTAGCAGCTTGCATGCTCTGCCAATCTTGGGACTTTCAATGGACTTGAATTAATAGCCTGCCGTGTGCTTTGGTACCATTGGAATCGTGCCTTTTTACTTGTCAAAACTTGGGCTTGGCAGCCTCAGCAGCCAGCAGCTGTCTGAAGAAAAGCCTCCAGCTTCAGTGGGCAGGCAGCAGGAGGCAGAGCTGAAGCCTAAGGTTGCGGGGCTCTCACCCAGCCCCTAGGGCCTGGCACTTTGAACTCAGATTTAAAGCCTCCAAACTGTATGAGAATAAACTTCTGTTTGTTCAAGCCATCCCATTTGTGGTATATTCTTGTCAAAGTGGCACTAGGTAATCAGAACAGTCCTTAATATAAAGTCCAATACCACAGGTAAAAGTTCTTACAAAATTAAATCCCAGAAGAAAATATATTTTCCTAAGGAAAAAGTATGCTTCTTTTTTTAAAAAAAATATACAATGAAAACTATTTTGTGTCTTGCTTTATATTAGTTTCCAGGAAGCTGAGAATCTAATTTGATGTTTGACTATTGTCATTTTATTTATCTGGTTTTAATATTGTACTTCTGTTTGTATTTCCCCTGGTACTGAGTCCTTATTCATAACTTAATATGTATGGACTTATTATGAGCTGACTCAAATAGTTTACGGAATAAGGTATAGAATGAATTAATAAATGAACAAACACCATACTTCATTTAATTAACCCTAGATCTATGAACAGGATGATTAATACCATCACTTTAGATAAGCTGCAAGAAAAATAGGTAATACATAAAAATATATAGAAAAATTACTGTTGTTGTTGTTATGTGCCGTTGAGTCGGACCCGACTCATAGAGACCCCTCCTTGGGTTTCCAAGGCAGTATCACTAAGGAAGTAGATTGCCCAACCTTCCTTCTGAGGAGTGGCTGGTGGGTTTGAACCACCAGCCTTCTGGTTAGCAGTCAAGTGCCTTAGGCATTATGGTACTCCTTAATTTTCTTATACCCCATGCAGTGAATTGGTTGATATGGCCCTTCTAGCCATTGTCCTTCATTCTGTGATGTTTTGTAAATCCCATTATCCATGCCTGTTTGGGGTGGTGTGGTAGTCAGGTATCAACTTGGCTGGGCAGCTGGTAGTAGTCATTCCCTATAATGACTGGCAATAGATTCTGTGATGGGATTTAGGTTATTTCTGTTGGGGCAACACAGGTGGAATGTATCTTGAGTCCTGCCTTGCTGGAGGGTATAATTCAAATCACCACCCTTAGCTTCCCTGAGGGTATACCTACGAATCTCCTGGGAAGATTTGCCCTCCTCTTGCTTAGGCTTTGTGTCTTGGATCATCCTCATCTCACCCCTGGATTTGGGACAGCAGCCATCATCTGATCTGCTGATCGAGGTTCATCAAACCCCAAGAGTTGGGAGGATCTGCCAGACCTACTCACGGACCTGGGACTCGCCAGCCTGCCAGCCTCCACCACTACTACATGAGATGAACCCTTGAGTGTCTGTGAGTTCTGTGAGGTGTTACAGCAAAATACAGAACCCTAAGACTGGGGGAATTACTGGGAGGAAGAGGAGGAGGTAATGTCTGAAATGATGGAGTGGCATGGTAGTTTGGACATTTGGGACATCTTTGACCTCTGCCTCATGGGGACCGGCCTCATGCTGATCTTTCTAAGAGAAATTGTTCAAGCACCCCACTGTTACAGAAAATAAAAAATGTTGAAAGAATATATGCTAAGGAATTAAGCAATACAAATTCACACATAAAAACCAACAAATCAATCATTTCCAAACTGTGACCTAAACCTGTACAGTCACCTACTTCCTCAGAATTCTTGAGAAAAAGACATAAGAAAAATGTCTCTGATTAAAGGTAATAAGTCATAAAAAAGAATAACCCTCATTGCATAGTCTGACTACATGAAGCAATTCTGGAAGTGGGGAGAAAAATGTTTCTCTAAAAAGAAAAAGTACAATATATTCATAATAGTATATGATTTCAAAAACAATTTCTAATAAAATTGCAAGGAAAAATAGAATGTAACATGTGAAAATAATTTTTGAATGAGAACAATAAAAATTACTTTAGCTATTTATGCTCATTTTCATGAAACCCTTCACCAAATAACCAGTATAGATTTTTAAAAATATGAAACCCTCTCACATCTCTCAAGACTATTTTTCTACAGAAACTTAAAAGGTTTTACAAAAAGAGACATTATTTGATAACATTTTGAAAGACCGTACCTTTTCTTAAGCAAGGATATCGGAATAATTTTACAACTCCGTAGTCATCAGCTGTAACTAAAATTTGGCCAATATAATTTCCATCTACTGAATTTATATCATTGATATCTGAATACTTGGGCCAAATTCCATTTACTTCAAGGCCTGAAACACATGTCCAGGATGCCCAGTGAACATCTTTTATTTCTTCTTTACTTGTCACCTCTTTTCCACCTAAAAAAAAAAAAAAACTAGCCTTAATTAAAAAACATATTTCACGTGATCTTACTCAAGCATAAGTTGTATTGAAAATGTCGTAAACTCTGAAGTTTTAAATATCTTCCTATCCCAGTCAGAGTAGAATACATGAATACATAGGTGAGTTTGGGGGAGGGAAAGAGATTTAAATGAAATAAATTTTTTTTTTTTTTAAAAAAAGGCCACTACACAGTACAAACAACAAATATGAACCCCTTTGTAAATACAATACTGAGTTGTCAATGAAAGCAAACATGGGTATAGGGACGGATAGATGGGTGAACAAGCTAAACAATTATGTATGTCTAAATGGAGAGTGTATCCAAGATCATATACAGGGTTGGCAGACAATGGGCCTCTCGAAGAGTATGAAAGGATGGACACTGGGAGGAGGTAACTATGGGGAGGAAGTGGGAGGGGAGCTGCTGCATTGTAAATTTTGGTCAATGACATGAGACAAAGTATATGTGAACTGCTGTATGAAAAGTGAATTTACTCTGTAAATCTTCACCCAAATCCTAATAAAAAAAAAAAAAAAAAAAAAAAAAAAAAAAAACCACTACAAAAATTATTGTGAATGAGACACACATAGATTTGAATATGATGTGGCTTAGTGGGTTCATTCAAGTGGAGAACAAAAATCATGATCCAAATTAGTCATAATATGACAAATTATAAGAAAGAGGTCAAAGCAATGAGAAAGTAGCAAACCAAATATTAAAAAGGGAACCTAAGATAATATGGTTGAGGAAAAAGAAGGAACTGAGAAAGACCAAGAAAGAAGAAAAGTAGGGAGTAATGCATTTACTTATTTAAGTCCTACAGTAAAAGGATGTTAGGACTTAATCTTCATTACAGATTGTTAATGAACAACTTTTGGGAGTAAGCAGTAGTTAAATATGCAGTTTGTCTTATAAATTTATAAGTCATTGGAAGATAGTGACTAATTCACTGAGATAAAATTTTTTCATAGTCCTTTTATTCTTTTCCGTGTAAATAGTCAATGCAAAAATTTACTTTGTTAGCTATATTGTTAATATTTGCAAAGCTGATTACAGACAACAACAACAAAATGAAGAATGGTGACAGATTTGTAGCAATTATATTTAGTTAATTAGTTCCATGCACAAAAATGCTATTTTGACTTTCTCATATATATAGAATTTTACTATATACTACTCACATGGTATAGAATTTAACATGAAATAGAAATTTAACATGAAATCCTTAGATACTCCAAGGAAAAGAGTTTTAATTAAGAACCAAAATGATTTCAAGCATAATAGAACAGCCTAGAATAGCAGCTCACATCTTCTTTGATTTCCTATAGTCAAACACAACTTATATGCTGCTTTTAGTGAACTTCTAAAATATTTTATAGACAATAAAAGTCTATAAATTACATCTATTAGAAAATTTTACCTGGCATCCTATAGAAAAGTCTTTTCCCATTCCCATCATTTGTCTGTAAATATCTACTATCTGAGGACCAGTCCAGGTGAGTGATGAAACTAAGTGATCCAACACATTCTCCAACTTTCTTATAACGCTGAGCAACTCCGTAAATATCAACTGAGCTGTCATTGCACCCAACAGCAAGGTAAGTTCCATCTGGTGAATATTTTAACTCATGAATTGCCTCCTTCCTATCTTTAATATGTACAACTTCTGTCATATCTCTGAAAGAGGGAAAAAGTAAGACCTTATTAAAAAAATTAATTACAGAATTAATTTGGTTTTCAAATATGTCTAAAATGACTATGAGAGGATATAAAGTACCTATAAATCATAAAATAAATCTAAATGAGACAAGTAGTATTAATAACAGAATAATCATTTTGCCCAAGAGAAATATAAACTGGAAGTAGAGAAAAATGCTAAATTTCTGTTTCTATATTAACTTATTTCTAAATAATTCAGGGCTCATACTAAATTTCTAGAGTCACACAATAAAGAAAATAAAGTCATAAAATTTTATGATAAAGGAAGTTTCTCATAAATATTGAGTTTATGAAAAATGCTTAATTATAAACCTTATAATTTTCAAATAAATTTTTATAATGAGCCAAATGTACAAACTGCATTCAGAAGATAAAGCAAAAAGGAAGTGACTTATATAACTTCAATAATATATCTGAATATACATCTTTAAATAGAAAGCTATCACTACATAAAGCTATATATTTTGATATTTTATTTTTATGTTAACCTCTTTTTATTTTATTTTAACCTCTGACATTTTAAAATAGATCCCAAATTCTTCCCAATTGGGTATCATTTCAACCAGTGGAATTAAAAATTTTTTCAATGACGATTTATAATTCAGCTTCCAAAATAATACAGGCATTGGTACAGCCATAAAAATGGGTAAACAGATACTTAAATGCCACTGAGTTTCCAAAGTTTTAGAGACAATTGGGGAAAATGGAGAGAAGAGAAGCAGGAGAAAGAGGCAGGGAGGGAGTGAGAATTCCTATTTTCATGTAGTGCCATGGGTATTTTCCAGCATTAATTTTACAACACTCATCTGAAATGTTCCAAGTAGATAATTTCAAAAACACAAGAGTAAATGGATGTTACCAAATTTCTAAAGTTTTCAAATGTACAATTTAAAGTAATCAGATTCAAATTTCTTTCAATAACACTCACTGAGTACTTACATTGTTTCAGGTCACTAAGGATGCCAAGATGAACTCATTTGCTTCTGTGGGAAATGGATATAAAGTAATTATGATAAAATGTGGTGAGAGCTCATAAATTGTGTGAAATTCTGTAGGAAATACTGAAAGAAAGGTTAAGGATAGAATAGAGGGAAGAAGGGGCCAAGAAAGGGTGCTATCTGATTTGAGCAGAAAACCAGAGAGGGTGGTCAAGTATAAAAGCGGAGGTAAGGGTTTTGAGGAAGATGACACAAGACAAGCCAAGGCATGGAGGTATGCAAGTACAAGGCATGTTTGAAGAGTAGTGGGTGAAATGTAATGCGTGTACAAGAATAAGTAGGAAACTAGTGATTGATGGGGTTGAAGAGACAAATTGAGGACAATCTGTGAAGGATTTGCTATGTTGCTAAGGAGTCCATATTTTACACTGGTGTAAATCATATAGAGATGAAAATCAGCCCCTTAACTAAAATAAACAACAACAAACAGTATATGTGACAGACTGCTAACAATTAAAAAAAAAAAAAAGTTTGTTTTCCCTTCTTCCTAACTGAATTTCCTGACCTGCCTGCAGTTAGGGCAGCTGTGTGGCTGAGTTCTAGCCAAAATACATGAGCAGAAATGACGTCAGCCATTCCCAACTCACACTTTCTGGGAAGCAGGCATAGTCCTTCCACAGATTAGCAACTGCCTCTTCAGTTGCTAGATGTGCAGATCTCCAATGGCCTAAAAGGTGGTGACACTATAACAAAAGAAAAGGAACCTGGGTGTTTGAATAACCTGGGGAATGGGAGCCACGCACTGACTTCTGATTGCTGTGTAAGTTTGAAATAATCAAATTGTGCTTAAGCCACTATTCAGATGGGGGCCTTTTAAGTACAGTAGTTAGGGATTACCATAAAAATATAGTCTACAAACAGAAAAGGAACCCCAAGATAGATCCAGAATTGTAATATTTAAAGCTACTTTTTTTTTTTTTTTTAAGATCGCTTGGTCAAAACCACTTTTGCCTTAGACCCTGCAGCTTGCAACATTCTACTTAAGCACAGACTCCTGTAGCTCTCTCTACCTTTCCCAGTGACTCTGCTTTAAGTTATAATTCATGCATCTAATTTCCCTTTGCTCCATATCTATCCATTCATTCATCTGTATCTAAGTGGACACGATGTTTAAGAAAATAGTTGACACTATTTGATAACTTTTACTTTTATGCTTCCCTTATTAAAGATATTATAATCTTATTCACAAACATTAACTAAAAAGCTCCTAGCAAAATTCATTAGAATTATTTGTGTATTTTTCAGTTTTTTTTGTTCTAGAGACTTAACTGCTCTCAATTAACCAAAGAAATGTCCATATATATATACCAGGTTATCTTGTTTTCTGCTACCATACTCCCCACCTCCCAACATGCACACACTCATACAATAGAAACCAATAGTAATAGATTCTGATTGACTAACAGTATGTAGCATTTGCTATTTCAGCATTATGAATTATGTGACTACCCTCTCTATATAAGCTTCTCTGACAAATTTATAGAGAAAAGGAGACTATTTAATGAAAATGCATTAATTGAAAAAATTCTGAATTAAGTTTTCTGGGAAACAGATATTTGAATTCTATGGTTTCTTTAAGTAACAGAGGGAGCAAACATCTGAGAATACTCATACACTGACAGTTTTTAACACATCATAGAAGTAAAGGTTGAGTGTTCATAAGAGCATATAACAGGGAATCATTCCTAGCCAAGAGGGCTAGAGGAGGCTTATCAAACGAAAAAACAACAACAACAAAAAACAATCTCACTGCCACCCAGTCAATTCCAATTCATAATGACCACTCCTTGGGTTTCCGAGGCAGTATCTCTATGGAAGCAGACTGCCCAGTCTTCCCTCCAAGGAGTGGCTGGTGGGTTTGAGCTGCCAGCCTTCTGGTTAGCAGTCAAATGCCTTCAGCACTATGCCACCAGAGCTCAAAGGCAGTGGGGCTTAAATTCCAATCTAAGGAATGAATGAGACTTAGAAGAAGACAAGAACTGGAATATGAAGGGTCCTTGCTCCTGTAGAAACAGCAATATGTGAAAGAGCAGATGGCAGGAACAGTATTCAGGTTCAGTTTGAGAAGGCCAGGATGGTTTTACTGACAAAAGCCAAGGCGATTTTGTTATAAGTCTGCTGAGGGTAGCTGAGGGAAAATCCCAGAAGATCTCATAGATCTTGTTAAAGTTTTGGCTTAATTTGTCAGTTTAAGTGACAGTAGGAAGTATCAATCAGATCACTAACTAGTTCCAAAGTAAGAAAAAAATTGGAGTATAAGAGTAGAATCTAGACCCATTAGAAGGCTACTGCAGATAGCATTTGCTCAGACTTCAGAAAGAAATGAACTAATTAGAAATACATACAATTATATATATTATATGTGATCTAAAGATTATGGTGGTAACTTTGAGAACTAAGGTATGCTGGCTCAAGTCACATTATTTTCCATCACCTTATATTCATGTGAAAGCTGGTAATGGGCAGGGAAGACCGAAGAATTGATGCCTTTGAATTATAGTGGTGGCAAAGAATATTGAATGTACTATGAACTGCCAGAAGAATGAACAAATTTGTCTTGGAAGAGGTACAGCTGGAATGCTCCTTAGAAGTGAGGATGATGAAGCTTTGTTTCACATACTTTGGACATGTTATCAGTAGGAACCAAACCCTGGAGAAAGACATCGTACTTGGTAAAATAGAGGGTTAGTGACGAAGAGGAAGACCTTTACAAGAAAGACCAACAATGGGCTCAAAACACAGCAACAATCGTGAGCCTGGTGTAGGACCAGGCAGTGTGTTGTTCTGTTGTACATGGGGTCACTATGAGTCAAAACTAACTTGACAGTATCTCACAAAACAACGAAGTATGATAGTATGTAATATACAGTATATGTTAAAGATATAGTTTTAATCTTATTCCCAAATCTCAATTACAGTGCTCCTGGAAAATTCATCAGACACACAAAATCAACAAGATGTGTTGACAGATTAGCAATAATACGTTACAGAGAGAGATACCAGGGTAACTCCTAAATTTTGGCTTGTATAAAGAAATGGACAATGGTGCCACTCAACAGGATAGGATCCACAGCAGAAGCTCAGTTTGGGAGCAAGAATCAGGAGTTCAGTTTGGGATATGCTGAGTTGGGGAGTAATGTTAACAGGAGCTGGAGTTTAGAGAGGGATCTGGCAGGGCTGTGCTTTTGGGAACATCAGGCTGTTGTGGTAACTGAAGCTAAGAGCAGGATGACACTACCTAGGGAAAAGATACAGAGTGAAAAGAGAAGAAAGCCTAGGTCTGATCTTTGAGGAACATCAACATTCACTGCTGGGCAGAAGATAATTAGCCTACAAAGCAAATGAGGTCAGAGAAGTAGGTTGAAAACAGAAACAGAGTTAACATAAAAGCCAAGGAAGAGAATATTTCCAGAAGGACCAAGTGTTTTTTTTTTTTTTTTTAAAGTCACATACTACTGAGAACCAAGTAAGATGAAAATTGATACATGTTCCGTTGGCTTTAGAGACATAGGGTACTATTGCTGAAGGCTTTTCAATGTACAGATGAAGGCAAAAGCCATATTGGAATGGCAGTAGAAAATTGGTAAGTTAATTGGAAGAAAGAGAGCCAATAAATTTAGACAATTTTTTGGAGAATTTTACCATGAAATAGAGGGCAGTACAAATGTGATATAACTAGAGAGGAACTTAGATTCAAGACAGGAAATTTAGGATACAAGATAAATGAGCCTGTTTTAATGATACTCTTAAGAATGAAGGGGTTGGGAGACCAAAAAAAAAAAAGGGAAAAATAATGGACAATATAAAGAGTTACTTTTTAAAAGCCAAGAAACAATTTTTGAAGATAATTGTTCCTATGAAGTGGGACAGACAAAACATAAACAGGTTGAAAAAATTTTTCAGTGTGAAATACTATCACTATCCTTTTAAGTGTATCCTTTTAAATTGACAGTGTATAAAGATATAAAAGGTTATCTACTGGTAGAATCTAAAATTTGTTGTTGTTGTTAGGTGACATCAAGTCATCTCCGACTCATAGTGACCCTATGTACAACAGAACAAAACACTGCCTGGTCCTGTACCAATCCCACGATCCCTGCTATACCTGAGCCCATTGTTGCAGCCACTGTGTCAATCTATCTCATTGAGGGGCTTCCCCTTTTTCACTGACCCTCCACTTTACCAAGCATAATATCCTCCTCCAGGGAATGGTCCCTTCTGACAACATGACCAAAGTAGGTGAGATGAAGTCTGACCATTCTGGCTTCCAAGGAGCATTCCGGGTGCACCTCTAAAAGGACAAATTTCTTAGTCCTTTTAGCAGTCCATGGTACTTTCAGTATTCTTCATCAATACCACAACTCAAAAGCATCAGCTCTTCTTCAGTCTTCCTTATTCATTGTCCAGCCCTCACATGCATGAGGCAATTGAAAATACCATGGTTTATGTCAGACACATCTTAGTCTTCAAGGAGGCATCTTTGCTCTTCAGCACTTGAAAGAGGTCTTTTGCAGCAGATTTACCCAATGTAATACGTTGTCTCATGTCTTGATTGCTGCTTCCACTGGTGTTGATTGTAGAAACAAGTGATATGAAGTTTTTGACAACTTCAATCTCTTCTTCATTTATTGTGACACTGCTTATTGGTCCAGTTGTGAGGATATTTGTATTCTTTATATTGAGGTGTAATCCATCTTGCAGACTGTAGTCATCAATCTTCATCAGTAAGTGCTTCAAGTCATCCTCATTTTCAGCAAGCAAAGTTGTGTCATCTGCATATTGCAGGTTGTTAATGAGTCTTCCTCCAAACCTGATGACATGTTCCTCTTCATACAGTCCTGCTTCTCAGATAGGAATTCTATTTTTTTATTATTACTATTTTAATGCTTTTACAATTAAAGGATACCCTATACTCTGTAGGGAACCTTGTTTGATCTTACCAGTGCTTGTCAAGCTCTTGCACAGAAGTCTCCCTAACTATTCATGCAAAATGAACAGGAGTTCTGTGTTTATAGCAAGACACAGCCCCATTCAACATTTCATATATGTATGTATATACACTTAACTTTCATTTTAAAAATATTAGGAAATTTTCACTGACTTTGATATTAGTGTTCCTTTTAACAAAAAATTTAACATTTTTTAACACAATGAAAATTACTGTTCTAGGAAGAGATAAGCTATATTTATCTTTTGCTTTGCCCTGGTACACCACCTTATACCCCATTTTAAAAATCTATGTGTTAAAATCCAAATCCATTCTTTGTTCCTTCAAGCATAACATAATAGTTCCCTCTAAGGATACTTTAATACTACCATACTTATGAATCCTACACTATTGTGTTGTAGTTATGTGCCGTCGAGTCGGACCCAACTCATAGCAACCCCTCCTTGGGTTTCCGAGGCAGTATCACTACGGAAGTACATTGCCCCATCTTCCTTCCGAGGAGTGGCTGGTGGGTTTGAACCGCCAGCCTTGTGGTTAGCAGTCAAGTGCCTTTAGGCCCTATGCTATCCTGCACTAGGATATGGATAATACATAGTGAAATGAGAAGAAATAGTGACTAATAAACTTAGAAAGATTAAGAATACTTTGTGAGCTAGAATTTTATAGCGAGAATAACCACTGTAAAAATCCTATTAATAATGTTGAACTCAGATGCTAAAATACTGAGGTATGAGAGATAAAAATTTATTCTCCCAATTTCTTGCCTACAAAATTTGAAAGGTCAGATAAATGTATAATTTTAAAAGCATAATAATTACTATTCTTTAATGCATACCAGTGTATGATAGGAACTTGAGGTGCTTTATTTATGTGAATCTTAATTTCTGAGAAAACTTCTTTAAGATAAGCATTCCAATTCTAATACTTCCAACATTTCCAAGTCTCACAGCCATGAAAAGTGAAGCTGATTACAAATATTAAATATTATTCATAATTAATGTCCAGGTGCTTCTCATTTATGATTTCTAACCTTAGCAGACTCCAAAGATATTAAACAACCAAGATCATAAGTAAGATTGTATGTTTAATCTTATGCTTATGGTTACACAAAGATTTTAGAATTAGTAATCAAATCAATGTCAAAATTACAATAGCACTGAGAGCTTAAAAAGGAGAATTCATAGTCTTTCATCTCAGTCATCTTAGTTTATGAAGCTGTTCTGGCAATATGACACATTTACAGAACTCTGGAAAAGCCCTTAGTTAATACTCAAAATTTATATTGTTAAAATGGAGTTTTTTGTTTGTTTTGTTTTTAAATCAATTCAAGAGGAAAAGCTCCGTAGATCTCATTTTAAAAACCTGTTCTAGAAAGAGAGGTTAGTATGTACAAAAGATGATGTATCTGAAGAGGTGCAAGATGTTTTGTATAGTTGGAAGAAATCATACTATGATCTCAGTAACTGAGGCTGGAAAGATGGGGACTTCAGGTCATATTAAGGCTTATGAATGCCATCCTAAGGACAGTGCAAAGCCTTTATCATACTTTAGAAAGAAAAAGAATGTGATCAAACATATTTTTACAAATAATCATTGACTAGAGTGAAAAAAGTTCTTGAGGAAGCAAAATGGAAGGTAAGAGAGACCAGTTAAGAGGTTGTTAACACTACAACAGCTAAGAGGTAACAGAAACCTATTGAAGATTACAATGATGAACCTGAAAGAAAATAGATTAATTTGGGAGCTATTCAGGAAGGAGACTCTCTAAAATTCTATGAGTAATTAGATAAGGGAGGCAAAGGAAAGATACAAATAAATGGTTTTTGGATTGGGTAATTAGGTGAATGGCCCCACCATTAGCTGGGAAAGAAAGATTTCATAAATACTGGTCCTTGTGAACACATTTGATCTATGGCAAAATTTTAATGGCTATATAGAATTCAATTGAATGCACTGTACATATAATTCAAAAGAAGATGTTAACTGCTTATCAAATCTTTTGAACTTTCCTGACTGTCCAAAATAAGGAAAAAATGCAGGTATTTTTCTCCCAAAAGTGTACTACAAACAAAAAGTCAAAAACATTTGGCAAATTTTACCAACTTCATCACTCATCCCATCAATAGCAGAAGATCATTACTGAAACTCAGTAATACCAAGCAATAGAAGTCAGGACCCAAATTTACAATTCAAAATTCAAGCATTCTTGAATCTACAAAGCATTCTTAACCCCCAAAATCAAGGCCATAGTTTTGAGTTTATAAAATTTTCTGACAAAGCCATTTATATATATATATAAATACATACATATATGTATATATGTATTTATATATATATATATATACACACAAAACCACATATACATGTACACATACACACATACATATATATTTAGTATTAATAAATCTAATATCTGAAAAAAATATATATATAAATATATAAATAAGAAGAAAGAGTAAAGGAAACGGATAAAAATAATGAGTACTACATACTTTATCTCACTTAACAGTGCATTACTGTATGTTTCTATTTCTATCCTAATACCATACCTTACTCGAAGTACAGTGAATGAACCATCCTTCATTCCAAGAGCAAGATGAATTCCATCTACATTTACAGCTGCACAGCGAATTGGTTCTTCCATATTACACCTTGCTATTAATGCATGATCTACTAGGCTCCATATCCTGAACATTTGAGAATGAAAAGATAAGCCACAGATTGGGAGATAATATTACAAAACAGATATCTAATAAAACCTTGTATCTAAAATATACATTAAAAAATACTTAAAACTCAAAAATAAGAAAACAAACAACTCAATTAAAAAACACAAAAGATATGGACATACGGCAAATAAGTATATGAAAAGATGTTCAACATCATATTTGTTGTTGTTATGTGCCATCAAGTCAGACCTGACTCATAGCGACCCCTCCTTGGGTTTCACTAGGGAATTGCATATGAAAACTATGAGAGTCCACAATACAAATATTGTTGTTGTTGTTAGGTACCATCCAGTCATTTCCGACTCATAGCGACCCCTTGCACAGCAGAACAAAACACTGCCCAATCCCATGCCAGCTCCACGATTCCTGCTATACTTGAGCCTATCATCGTAGCCGTGTCAATCCACCTCGTTGAAGGCCTCCCCCTCTTTCGTCAACCCTCCACCCTACCAAGCATGACATCCTTCTTCAAGGAGTGGTCCCTTCTGACAACATGACCAAAATAGGTGAGATGAAGTCTGGCCATTCTCACTTCCAAGGAGGATTTTGGGTGCACTTCCTCCAGGGCAGATCTGTTAGTTCTTTTAGCAGTCCATGGTACTTTCAGCATTCTTCGCCAGCACCACAACTCAAAAGCATCAACTTTTCTTTGGTCTTCCTTATTCA